AACTTCAAAAGAAAACAGTTTGGATGCACATATTTCAAGGAAGGAGGGGGAGTAAAGACTGCTATAGAAGAGATCTCTGATAAAACAAGACAAGAATAAAACATGAAAAGATACGCCAAGACACGGTATGGCAAATGACTGATGGGGGAGGGAGGAAAAAAACCTTTCCTTTCTTTTCTGATGTGATTAACAAGAATCCCCTCCCCTCACGAGTTACGAGTCAGAAATGTCGTTTTAAGGACTTAAGCTGTGGATTTAAGGCTGTGTGGAGATAAACTTTCGAACCAAAGCATGTTTTAAGAAGAGCGAGGATTGTATAAGAGCTTGGGAATGACGCAGTTAAAAATGCCGTCGCCGTATTGGGAAGTTCTGTCGGAGGTCTTGAGTCTGGGAGGAGAAAGAGAGAAACAGAGCTGTTTATATATTGTGGGTGAAACTCCTCAGAGGTACTTAAGAGTGACAGCTTTGCGAGATGGAAAGAGCGATGTTATCTATGAAGGCGATGATATATGGAAACCATCTCAATTTGAGGAATGGAAGAACTGGAAAATTCACACAGGATTATTATTATTATTGGTGTTTATCGGCTTAAGGAGACTATCAGAAGAGATCATAAAGAAAAAAGAGAAAATATATAAACAAGATGTGATGTGGAAACAGCAAGATAAGACTGGATAGAATTATGAACTCTGTTTGGACTGATTTGGACTGATTTGGACATTAACGCAGTAGCAAGAAGATGATCAGAATCCCCCTTCGGATCTTGAAATATGGGTCCCCCCAACAAAATTTAAAATTTGGCTTTGTAATTCGGAACTTATGTGATGTGATTTAATTTGATTTGATTGGCCGGTTAATAAAAAATTATTTTTTTAAAAAAAGAAAGACATCTACCTGAAACCCTGGAGAGCTGCTGTCAGTCAGTGTGGACAGCACTGAGCTATTTAGTTATTTAATAAATGTATTCACCAATTGATTGTTAAAAAAAACCCTCAAAGCAGTTTACAAAGAATGGATGGACCAGCTTTCCTCTGCAATTTCTTTCATGCGTTCTTGCATGAATGCTGCAAAGTGGAGCAAGCCACAACAGAAGAACCACACAAGGCACAATCTAGCCAAGCTACCCACTTTTAGGTAGGATTGGGAGAGGAATCTGACATGGTTCATGTTCAAAGGGAGATTTCCACTTTCTGAAACAGTATACAGTATACAAGCATGCTTCAAAATTCATACATCGCCCAATTTAGCAGTGCAGTTCTCCAGCAAAGTAATGTATATGAAAACTATTAGTGAAAATAGCATACAACAACAACAACAAATTTATTAAATTTGTGAGGTCCATGCCTTTACACAAAATACCATAAAACATTATTAAAAGATAAACCAAAAAGATTATAAAAGTAAGCTAAAATTCATGCCATGTTGTCCCAGCAAGGAAACTACCCAATAAACCCCACCATTCAGGGAAGAAGATACAGCAACAGGTTAGGAGAGCAATGGGAGGGACCTCACCGTTTCATCCAGGAACCATACCCTAGTTTTCATAGCCTTCACCACAAAGACCGCTACCACGTGAGAAATCCGTGGATCAGCGTCTACCAGTAAAAACTTTACTTGGTCCTCAGAGTTGACTATTGATTTAGGAATAGTTTGTAACATCGCATCCCTGAAGGCCGAATAGATGGGACAATACAACATGTAATGTATGAGATCCTCTTTGGTTCTCATATAACAAGGACATATCCGCTGCTCTACTGGGATTTTTGCATATCTGCCTGACAGATAGGCCGTAGGAATGGTTTGAAAACGGGCCATAGTAAAGGCTCTCCGAAGAGTGGGATTGGTGATATTCGCCAAGTAGTTGGCGCAGATTTTGACTGCTTTCAGTCGGGGAAGCCAGTGGGAGGACCCTGGGATCTGTATTTTTGTGGTATCTAACAGAGCGTCTCTCTCCAGGATCCATTTCCGGACTTTGTCCGGGCTCCACCGTTTGAGGATATTAAACTCCGGTAGGGTGTATCTAACCAGGATCTCAGATAAGTTTTGGCGCCAGGTGGTATTCTTTTGAAAAGATACAAAGGCTTGTTTGGCCAATAAGGTGTTTGAAGAGTTTGCAAGGTTGATGTAAAATCGTAGGAATCTTAAGTGGGCCCTGGCAGACACAGAGGGTAAACCAACCTCCACCCTCAAGAAGGCTGCTGGGGTTCCTTGAGGAAGGCCTAGAATCCTCTTGAGATAGTAGTTTTGCAAAATTTCAAGCCGTTCCAACAGCCTCTGGTTCCACCCCCAGAGTTCTATCCCATATAACATCTGGGGAATAGCTTTCCCAACGAAAGCTCTTAATGCCGGGATCACCAATTGTCCTCCCCTGGTATGGAAGAAACTAAGCAAAACACCAATTGTTCTTCGTGTTAGGATGGTTACAGCCTTAAAGTGGGCTAGCCAGCTAGATGTAGCCTGGAATGTAACACCCAGATATTTAAAAAAAAGGGCACTGTTCAATCACTTGTTCATCTAAAGACCATCTAAAGGTGTGGCGAGCTCTAGTAAACACCACAATTTTTGTTTTATCATGGTTTATCTTTAGTGAATTATGGGAACAGTAGGCTGCGATCCCTCCAGCATGCTGCGTAAGCCTCTTCGGGTGAGTGCCATTAAAACCATGTCATCGGCATATAGCAAAATATTCAGGCGTTTACCTTCAAGGGCTGGAGCCGATGACTTGTACTTTGCCATGTACTGGACAATGTCGTTTATATAAAAGTTGAAAAGAAATGGGGCTAGCAGGCATCCCTGTTTGACCCCTTTCCCCAATGGCAGTGGGTCCGTAAGAGTTCCCGATGGCCCAGTTCTGATTTTGACTGTAATGTCTGTATGTAACTCTCTGAGAATTTTTAAAAGTCGTCTGTCAATGTCCGTTTCATATAATTTTTTCCATAGTCTATCTCTACAGATTGAGTCGAAGGCAGATGTCAAGTCTACGAAGGCCACAAAGAGTCTGCTCTTATACGCTTTTGCATATTTAGCTACCAGGGTCTGTAGTACCATGCAGTGACCTATCGTATTGTGGCCCTTTCTAAATCCTGCCTGTTCCTGGTTGAACAGGTTAGAATGGTCCGCCCAATCTACCAGCTTGTTTAATAGGTACCGGGTATAAAGTTTGTATGCGATGTCCAGAAGGCTTATAGGGCGGTAGTTTGCTGGATCTTGAATGTCTCCCTTCTTATAGATAGGGACTACCACACTTAGTTTCCAATTTGCTGGGATTTTACATATGTTGTTCATTGCCGTAAAAAGTTTGGCCAAAAAGATGGCCCACCATTGGGCATTTGATTTAAAAACCTCAGGGGGGATCATGTCCTCACCAGGAGCTTTGCCATTTTTTAAGGTTTTAATTAGCTGTAGGCACTCTGATTCCGTAACAGGATCCCAACTAACTAGATGCTCATTCTTCAATGGGAGGAGCGGACTCAAATTAGCAGTATTTGAGAGTGTGTATAGCTTGAGAAAGTGTTGATACCACACATCGGATGGAATACTGCTGTTTACAATTTTTCCTTTGGATGAGACTCCCTGTGCTACTATTGCCCAGAATTTTCTATCGTCTCGCGATTTAATCGCCTTATCAAGTTCCTCCCATTGTTTCTTCCTGTAAAGGGATTTCTTGAGTTTTAAGGTGTTTTTATAGTGAGAGCGCCATCTGTGGAAGTTTACCATAGATGACAAAGTCCTCTCCTGTTTTACCTTATTTTGTTGTTTCCTAAGCAGGGATCTTAGCTTCCGGCAGTCTTTGTCAAACCAGGCCCCCGATTTATTATGTTGTTTGGGAGGCCTGGTGTTTATAAGAAATGGGAAAAGGGACTCTGAGACCCGCTGATATAGTGAAAAAGGATCAAAGTTAGGTAAAGGACACTGGTCTCTCAGAACCAATAGATCTGGAGAGTGCAGGTGTTGATTGATTTTAAGCTCCAGCTCGCTGTTCCATTTACGCCTGCGTGGGGCCGGTGCTTGAGGAGGGGCTGCACAATGTAGATGTTGTAGTCCCCTGATTCAAGGGGAGTTAGTGAGATTGCTCTAGGAAGATGGTCGCTCTCAGTTCTATTAAAAGTGCTGAGACCCTGTGCCCTCTCCAAAATTGTTGGAGAGACCAGGATATGGTCAATCACACTTGCACCTCGAGGGCCGATAAAAGAGAAGAAACCTCCTGACCTGTCCATGTAAGTACCATGCAGGTTGTACAGATTATGCTTAAAAGCAATCTCCAGTAATGTAATACCTGCCTTGTTCAAGACCTTTTCATCAGAACTCCAAGGGATAAGCCAGTCTGCCTCTGGTAGAAACTGGGTTTTGGAGCCATACGAATTGATGTCGCTGCCTATCCTGGCATTAAAGTCACCTGCCAGCAGGATGTTCCAGTCAGGGAATTCTATTTTGGCCTTCTCCAAGCATGACTCCAAATCTTCCCAGATTTGTACTGTCTGAGAGGAAGTACACACGGGGGGGATATAGACGTTGAAACATAGAAGATCTCCTCCTGTGTTATTGGAGATAAGTAAAATCTGAAAATTGTTGTTCTTCATCCACTGCAGTTGTCGCACCCTGTACCCTTGCTCTATAGGAATAAAAGTGACCAAACCGCCGCTAGGTCGGCCACGGTTATTTAGTTTTTTCGCAGGGGTAGCAAAAGCCGCATAGCCCTGTAAGTAAGGGGGATGAGAGTCTAGGCACCAGGTCTCTTGTAGACAAATAATCTGGAATTTTGAGAGAAAATCCAGAAAATCAGCATCGCCCTGCTTAGACAGCCAGCCCGCCACATTCCACGATAAGATGTGAAAATATGGTGGTGAGGGGAACAAAGGTAGACTTCTCCGTTTGTTCTTTAGGATGATGGAATGAATGTTTTTGTAGAGGTGGAGTGAGCTGTTGATATCCTTTGTGGTAGGTACTAACCTAGTGAGTTTTGTTTCACTGGCGTGGTGTCCCCTCGCTGTATCTGTCTTTCAATCCTCCACCTGAATGCCATCTAAGGATCCTGAGGCATCCACAAAGATTGAACCGTTCCTACTCATCGGCATGGCAAGGTCTACCTGGTGTGTTGTTGTTTGAGGTGTTAAGGGTTGTGTGGGAGAACCCACTTCTTCGGGGGACAGGAACCGGCACTGCGTCCAGTCTTCGTTGGATAAGGGCTTTGTTGTGTTAGTAGCAAAATTAAATTCCAAAGGAGCAGAAAAACCTTGGCGGAGTAAGGATTTTTTAATGGTTTGTAACCTAGCTATTAACGCATCCTGGGACTGTTGAATTTGCTCAAGGGAGGCTAGAAAGAGCATCTCCTTTTCATTTAAGATATCTTTTTTGGGTTCATTGGAAGGGAGTAAAGTTTTTTGGAGCTTAGCCTTCTGTTTGGAAATTTTGACTGCCTCCGGTTGACCTTGTTTGCAGTTTTCAGAAGCCATTTCCAATTCTGTGCGCAGACTAGTAGGCTTACGTGTTCCTAAGAGGGATGGTGGAACGCCGGACTCTTCAAAAAGGCGGGTCACCAACAGGCCAGCCCTCTGGAGCCTGTCCCTCTTGTCCATGATTTGTTTAGTTACCGACCAGTCCTTAAAGGTCACCACAACTCTGTTTTGGGCCATATCAAAAGGAAGAAATTTAACGCTGACAATATTTCCTGCTGGTATAAGGCCTCTGATGACTAAGTCAATTTTCTTAAGTAGATAAATTCTCTGTTGTGCAAGCGTGGAAAGGCCTCCATGCTTGAAGAGAGGGAGGAGGACTAATTTATGTTTAATTAAAATTAAGTTCTGGCTCTTTTGTACTCCCTTCTGGGGAGTTTCTTGCTTTGGATCTGGAGTTTCCTTTAATTTTCCACTAGAGGGCAGCGATTGTTTTGCTAGCCTTGGAGGGCTAGCCACCTGATGTATATTTAAAATGTTTGGGCTTTGGCTCTTATTTGGCGTTGTTTTGTTGGGGTTCTTTGTGCTTGAGTTCTCCAGAATCTTGAATAACTTTGAGAAATTCACTTTCCCAGTCCGAGAGGGCAGCTTAGCCTTTCGACCCATTTTCACATTCTTCGGCTTCTTCTTATGCATTGGGCTCTTTCCCTTTAAGGAAGGTTTCCTAGTGGCCAGTACTTTTCCTTGGGCTAGTTTGGCTCTGCTTGTTTTCCTTTCTTTGGTGTTGGACTGGGTTTTATTTCCATTTGGCTTGTTGATGGCTTCTTTGTGAAAGTGGCAATCCTCTTTCCTCCTGATTAGTTCAATCAGGGAGGTGAGCAAACCCAAACATTCTGAAAGAAAGTTTTTAATAGGCCCCAGTTCTTTAATTAGCTGAGTTTGATGTTCTTCCAACAGATCTTTGTACAGCCCTGTCATTATGTAATTATAGCTGCCCAGGTCTGGATGTCGAGCTCTTGTGTCGTTTAGCCACTCCTCCACCTCGGTCGGGGCAGGGGACCCCCCCTTTCCTCTAAGCATAGGTTGATGGGTGGATTCTTCTGACTTGGTTTCTGGGTCTCCCAGCTGAGGCTCCTGTTCTGGTCGGGCCTCAAGGGCTGTACTTTCTGTAGTTGCCTGTGCCAACTCGGTTGCCAGGTCAACTCCTTTTCCTCCTCCTCCCTCTGCTTCCATGCCCCTTCTGAACGAGATACGGTCGACAGACCATTCGTGCGGATGCAGGCTCTCTATGTTTTTATTTCTTTTCACTTCCTCTGCTTTTGGTTTAAAATAATATGGAATTTTTGCCTGCTTTTTCTTTGGGGCAGGGGGTTCAACAGCTTGTGCTTGAGCTAGAGGGATCCCCAGTTCTTTATAATTCTGTCTTGTAAGAACCATTTAAGTTATCTTCTCTAGCCGTGTGCTAGGGCCTTATTCAACAGGAGCTCAAAGGATGTAATTAGCCTCAAATAGCCTCAGGAGAGGAGAGGAGAAAGGGGAGGATTTAAAAATACCTCCTGGTAACTCCCGGGTTCTTTATCAGGCTAAAACTTTGAATTTTTCTGAATGTCTTCCTGTATTATTGTAATTATTCTGTAAAAAGCTCCTACTCACTCTGTTGAGGCTCACAGGAGACTTACTGCCGGCGCCATC